GGTGTATACGGTCGCCCAATCAATGGACAGGAGGAACAAGAGAGGACGCGAACCAGGGGGAGCCAGATAAAATGAAGAAGGACGTTGCCTTCTCTGTTTCTCGAACGAGCGAGAAACTCGCGACAGACCGATTCAAAAGTAACGAAACGAAACGATACAATACGATACGATGAAAAAGAGGATCGAGAATACAGCGGCAGCCACGTGGTGAGCTGAGAAAGTTGGACGTTGCTGCAGGAAGAAGAGGATTCCGCTGGAATTAGAAGCAACTTCTTTGGCCGGGAATCGAGATTCGATTAAAGTAGGTTGATTTGCTTTCCTACGTTTTTATTTCGTCTGCAATTGGAGACGATTGCAAGATCGTTGGTCGAGCGCGTGCCTTCTTTTACGGTTTTCATCGAGTATTTACTCAAATTCTACAAATATGGCGGATCGAAATGAAATGGAAGGGCAGGATGGGCGGAAGTTTCGATCGGTTGCTGCTGGAACGAAAGTGGAGGAAACTGGAAAGAAAGAAAAGTTTAGGAATTCTCTTGGAATTGGTAGCAACTTCTTTAGCCCCGTGGCTTGATTTAAATCGACCGATTTAATTTCGTACCTTTTTCGTACGAATCGATGCTGACGTAGAAGGTGTTTGACAGCGAGAGCATCTTCTACGATCTCCATCAAATCTTTGATCAATGCACGAGATAGAAGAGAGAGACGGCAAGGAAGAACTTTGATCACATGTAGAATCATTGGACGAAGAGAGAAAGAGGAAAACAGAGAGGGAGAGAAACGAGGGAGGAGGACTATGGGGTTGGTTATCGGGGTGTTGGTGAGTGAAACGGAGAGGATTCACCCCTGTTTCGGTCGAATAATCGTGTCGTCCTCGTCGAAAGCGGTTTGCTCCAGCTAATATCGAACGATCGCCCACATTCAAAGGGATGTCAGGGTAGGAATGGTATTGTACTCCCCTTCGAGGGCGATTCTTCTTCGAAGCCCGTGTCACTTTTGACGTTGTTAATGAAAAGATTGGGCTGCATCGAGAAACGTGCGTGTGAAAAAACTTCGTTTCTCGTTGCATTCGTCTTCCTTTATTTTTTTTTACCATTTGTTCTTCAGAGAAGGAAGATCATTATGGACAGAAAATATCATTGGCAAGTATAAAAAATTATCTGGTACAACGAGTGTCTCGAACGTTCAGCGTGATCTCTTAATCTCTCCTAACTTTTGACGATGTTTGGTGACGTTTTGCAAAACACAATCGTATGAATCCTTTGATCCTCGTCCAGCAATTTGGATAAATGTGAATTCGTAAATATCTATAGATGAAGATTAATAATTTTATTCTTCTGAACCGTTCAAAGTGTCACGTAAACGATATTACATTGCATTATACTTATTATATAAATATATATTCGATTAATTCCCGGCCGTATTTTTCTCGGAAACAAAGTCTTTAATGTTCATTCTTTTCGGTTTTCGTGTCATTTTTGAATCGTAGAATCTTTTCTGCTTCACTTCTGTATCACGAATTGTGAATTATTCAGAATTAATTTTATAGCGAAAGTCGAGTAAAAATCGAACTATGTATATATGTATTATATTTCACACATAAAGTTACTCAAATCTGTAAGACTGTTGTAAATTTACAAAATTTCAACGAAAAGTTGCGGACTAACTGCTCGCGTTTGTCATTCCAATAATCTACGTGTTGTGTATTAAGAAATGTCTCTGCAGAACGTACTCCAAT